CTCCACGTGCCGCGTGGGGCCAGCAGTGGGAGCGAGGAGATACCCGAAAACTGATTCAACAAAAAGTTACACGTGGCTGAAACATTAAAATGTCCAACGAAAAACAAAAAAGAAAAGGAGAGCCGCCCCCAGCGTGGAAAAGAAAAAGTGAAAAAATAAAGCAGTGTGATGAAAAAGGAGAGAAAATGGTAGAGCCTGGCTCTCTCCCTCTCCCTCCGCATGGCCGTGACCGGGTCCAGTGGGACGCTAGCCCCGTCGCTCCAATGCTGCGCTCCGCGCTGAGGGACCGTCCTTACACTGCCGTGGTCCAATTTAACTCTAAAGAAGTTAGCGCCAGTATGGTGGGCCCGTAGCAGCGTAGCCCCGTGGTGGACCGAGCGGCCCTACAGCCCCCCGGCCCCACAGCCCTGACCGCCCCGTCCGCCTCGCCTACCAGTTGAGTCCAGATTTTGGGCCAACTCCCGCCCTGCTTTTCCCCGTTGTTCCCCTAAACGCTCGACCCAGCCCCCCTCCTGCCCCTCTTAGACTGTAATGAGCCACCAAAACACATCCTGCTAGAATCGATCGTATAGTTCAGCCCGAAGGCGCGAAGTAGTTTGAGGAAAGGGGGCGGGGCGAGGGGTCCCGGGCCGGGTTGGCGGGGAGGGGGGGCGTCTGCTGGAACCCATCAAACCGCTTGCAAACTTTTGCTATCGGAAGATCGTGGCGGAAAGCAACCACTTCCCCCTCCAACTTGGACACGAACTGCTTTAATTGCATTTGTGACTACACCAGATTACCCCTGACGGCAGTGACGGAACAGAGGCGCACGAACAGAGGGACCGCGCGGTCCGCGGAGCGCGCTTGCACGGGGCGGGACAAACGGCGAGGGTCACCTGCCCGACGGGGACCGACAGACAGGCCGACACGTACAAACGGGGTCAGAGGGACGTGTTATGGTGTCCTATCGCAAGCCTCTTGACATTGGCAGCTGCTTATTTTCGCCCGGGCGCGGCGCGCAGTGGACCGGATATAGGGGGCACTTTGGCGGTGCGTCTTTATGAGACGAGTACCGCACGATTGGTATCGACAGGGTCGGTAAGGATGGGGGGGTGGGGCAATGTCCTTATCGTCCGCGAGCAGGACCGCGCCCCCCGCCTGTCGTGGCGGCTCGCCAGCACACCCAACCCGCCCCGCGCACGAGCTGCTGGAGGTGTCGATGGTGGTGGAGCTCGTCGCCTTGCTGGTGTGGTCTAGTACCCGCTTTACGTTCTCGACGGTCCGGCCCCCACTTCCCGTTTCTCTTACCTCCCAACCCACAAGCTCTCACCCCTTCAAGGATCGTACACGGCATGCACGACCTCCTCAACTGGCACGGGCGGTATGAGAGCAACAGCGTACGGCAGCCGCCGCGCCTACCGACCGACACAACCAAACGAGATTATTATTACGACGAGGCGGAGTTGTATGAGTGTCGGTCGGAGCGCGAGGCGCCCAGACAGCGAGGCTTCCAGCTACTTGTATACCGAATTCAAGGGAGGAGGAAAAGGGAACGCCGTAGAGCAAGGTGGGCAATGCTCCGACCCGCAGTGGAGTGCCGCTCTTCCTCACACGAGGTAAGCGCCTTGGAGGTCGGGGTGGAGGAAAAGTGCTCGCGACGGGGGGAAAGAGAGGGGGGAGATGTGTAGTGTGTCCTGCGCCCTCCACCCACCTCTTTGCCTACCGATCGCGTTCAGAGATGAAAATCAGCCCATCTCCCGACTTTGCCCACTCTCTCGCTCTCGTCCGTCCGTTCGTGGCCGTCGGTCCGTCCGTCCGTCCGCATCGTGGCCGGGCGCTGCTGGTGGTAAGATACGTCTCATAAAGGAAGGGCAGGGAGGAAAAATAAAGCAGCCTTTGCAGCCTTTCCCCCCACCGGGTGGGTAATATGGGCGACCCGGCCCCGCGAGCCTTCCCTGAAAGCCTTGCCGTACCCGACCCGGGCTCCGCTGAGCCAGCCCGGTCCATCCCCCTCCCCCATCCCCCCCTCGACGCCACGCCGCGTACAACACCCAGGCCACGCCGAGCTATAGCGTGCGCGTTTTCCCTTTAGCCACCGTTTCTCCTTTTTTCTTGCAGCATTTTCATATGAGAAAAAAAGAAGCTAATCCACGTGCGATCCTCCCTTGCCTCTCCCTCTCTCCTCTTTCGGTCAAGGCGCACAAGCAGCTGCACGAGCAGTCCTTGGCGAGGGTACAGCTTCTACCCCCCCCCTCTCTCATTTGACCTCGCGGGGTTCAAACACCCGTAAAAATGCATCGGTCTTTTTTTTTCCGGGCCCTTGCCTTTTATTGCGCGCGGCGTCCGCACCGCGGCCATTGATGCCGTAATAACGCGCATAAAGCAACAAGAGCACGCATGCGCGCACACACGCACGCACGAGCACGCACACGAGAGAACTCTCCCCTTTGCAGTAGTTGTTGCTCGCTAATACCTGGGCCGGCCTCGCACACCGCCTCGCCGCGTGAGAGTACTGCTAACTGGCGTGCATATATTTTGGAGGTTACGACTCTTCCCCCACTCCCCCTCCCTCCGGCTCTCCACGCACCGTGTGCCATAACCCGCCCAAAAGGCCTCTCCTCCCATAAAATTTCACACATGCAGCCCGCCACTTACCCCGCCGCGCGCCGCCCAGCAGAGCGACGGCGGAGGAGAAGAAGTGGAAGAGGAGGAAGAAGGATCTTTCGCCGTCTCCCTTACACCCCCACTCGCGCATCTCCCGCTGTCCTTGTCCCTCTCGGGAGTGCCCCCTCCTTGGCCCCTCTTCCTCAGCACTCACTTTCCGATGAGATATTAGCGCGGTGTAGTGCGGTTTCGGTGTGGCGGAACTGCCGAGCAGTATTTTTCGCACGGTGCGAAGTCGACCAACTTCTGGGGGGGTATTATAGCAGACCATAGCGATGCCCCCTCCCCCTCCGGCCCCAGGCGGGGTCGGCAGCGGGAGTGAATGGTACGCAAAGTAGGGTAGCCCGCCCGGCCAGCAGGCCAAGCCAGGGCCTCGGCCGGGGAGGCTAAGGGTACCGCTATCGGGCGGCGAGAGCGGGCCGAGGCCGAGACGGCGAGTCTCGCTGCTGGACAGGCCGTGGCGGGGCGTGGCGGGGCGTGGCGGGGCGTGGCGGGGCGTGGTGGGGCGTGGCGGGCCCGGGACGGGGTCGGCAGCTGCCCTAGACAGAACTGACAGTGCCGGGTACCGTGACGGATTTCAAAGTGGGACCAGTCGGGGCTGGGGTGGTGGGGAGAGAGGGGTAGGGGACCCTCGGGAGGAGCCAGCCGGGAGGAGAGGTGGGGGCATATGCATATGCAGGTCCCCCCGACAGTCGGCATCAACTGCGTCCCGGCCGCGCCGCCGTGCGGTACTATCCCCGCCTCGCCCCGCGTGGCTAAGAGGTTGCTTTAAGCTGAATTAATGTGGCTTAAGGTAGCGCCCTCCAAACGGCACCCATGGGCTGGGACTTTGGGCTGGCTGCTCGGGCTAGCGGCGGGGCACTACGGTCCCTGCGGAGGCAGCCTGACCCTTGTCCCACCCGCCCCGCCAGCGGCACCAGCCTCGGCGCCAGCACGGACCAGGGCCGAGGTCTAATAACATGTATGCGTAAATTTTGAGAAAGGGGGTGGGGGGGGGGGCAGAACGAGAGAGAGAAGAGAGAGTGTGGTAACAAGAAAGAGAGATAGAGCCGCTGAGAGAGAGGGAGAGAGAGGGAGAGAGAAAGAGAGAGCGAGGGACCGAGAGAGAGAAATAGATCCCTCGGGGGAGGGCGCGTAGTCCCCGGGGGATCCGCCCGCACCGCCCGCTCTCTCTTCCTGTCCCGGGAAGGTTTCCCACTAACCAAAACCTATCCCTGAAGACTGCGGGGTGAAAACCATACTCCCCCCACCCACCCGCCAGAGGCAGAAACCAGAAACTATTCATTTCAACAGCGACGCCCTCGCAGTTATGATTCTGCTAAAATAATTGCAATCATCCAAAAGCGTTGCATGGAATGCGCGCACTGCCCTGCACGATATGTGATAGTATTCACCGTACCCGCCTGAATCCGGAAATATGACCAGAAAGAAATGCCAGGGCAAGTGGCAGGAAAATGTACACACCAAAACGAAAAGCGGTAGAAAAGGGATCGCTATCACTGCAGTAGCCCTGCGAAACGCCTGGCCGTATGGTTTTCTTCGGCTGTAAATAAGACACTTACTTGTAGGGTCGCTTGTAAGCGCTTACAGTAAATATAACGACGGGTCGCTCGGTCCTTGCACTCGGGCGCTCCGGCTCCATAAAAGGAGCAGTGCGCGGTGCGCTTCGCGGTCGTCGGAGATTTATGTTATTTTAGAAAAACCCTCGCACGCACGCGCACAGGCACACACATACACACACTCCCTCTCTCGCCTTCTCCAACGACCGCAAACACCACCGCCGGACAGGAGAGCAGATTATTGCACGAGCACCCCCCCCCCTCCCGCACCTCCCCCTGTCCGCGTCGTAAAAAAAAGTAAAAAGGTAATAAGGAGGTGCTGGGCGAGGAGCAGGCTGCTGATGCGCGATTATGACCCGAGGCCTCATCGCGCGCGCCTCCGTCTACAAAAACAGCTGGATTACCAATTTCGCTGTCTAAACTCTCTTACACCCTGCCCCCACCCGACTCTAGGATAACTTATTTGTACGGTTATATTATGATTTTTTTCGGGTGATTTCCTTCGTCCCTCCGTAACTTTAGGAATGATCCACGGAAGCTTTGAGGATGGAGGTGATGTTGAGTCGACATGGCTCTACATAATATGACTTCCTTTGTTTTACCAGCCGTGAAACCGCTAATCGGTTCGCAGACTCCGTAAACTTGCATCATAAAATGTACGACACGCGATTCTTGCTGCTAGTCGAACAATTCCGCGCCGTTTCTCATCAGAATTACAATTTTGATTTGGCTTCGTAATACAGCACAATTTTGTTCAAAACGAATCATGAGTTTAACGTAGCACAAACTTTGGCACAAAAACATTCAAATGCAGTATGCAGCCCCACACATTACCTGTCACCGCGTTTGAAACTGAATATGTAAAGTAGAGTGCCACTCACACATGACGTTGAGCGTGATGATGTTGCTGGTGCCGTCGCCCTCCACGTTGGACGCCACGCACGAGTAGTTGCCGGCCTGCGGCCTCTGGATGCTCTGGTAGGCGAGGTTCTGCGTGATCAGGATCACACCGGCGCGCGTGTTGCCCTGGATAGGCACGCCCTGTCAAAAAAAATAGGGAACAAACAAAGAAAAATGAGCGTCTGAAAAACAAAACAAAAACAACAACACAAAAGGTACTGCGAGGAGTGAGTCCATCTCGCCCGTCCCGCCTATAAGGCACCAGGTCGTCACGTGACGAGGCCGTCCCTAACGCGCGTCGCGAAATGATTATTGCCAGACATTCTCCCGCGCGAGACGCTGCAGCGCGCTGCTCCGAGTCGCTCCTGCTCCTCATCTCGGACGGCACTTATCACGCAATGAGCCCCCCGCCGCGGTGCGCCCCGCCCGGAACAATTTAATACCGTGCAACATTTAGCAAAGTGCAGCACGGCCCGCGCGCGCGAGAAAGAGAGAGAGCGAGAGAGGCGCCACGACGTCTTCTGCAGGCGAGGAGGTTAAAAATTATGCCAACATTTTTGATCTCGTTATTTTAGAACGTCATAGAGAGACGTGACTATTAATTAGCGAGAGTCTTTTCTCAACGGAGGATAGCCGTACGGCGTTTCCGTGGATCCTTCCAGGACACCGGAAAAGAAAGTGGGGGGGTGGGGAGAGAGAGCATTGGGGCGGATGTGTAGCCACCACCGCGCAGGCGAGCAGCGCACAGTGAGCAAAACGGACAAATTAGCCGTAACGTTTGACGAACGAAACACAATATTGCATTGCCGCGCCATTCTCATCACATAACAAGTCAGAGAGGCGAGCGAGCAGAGAGAGACTCCAAACAAACAGCTGCGCGGCGCGGGACCACAATCTCCACCGCCCGCCGCCCCGCCCGGCCCACAATGCTTGCAAATTAACGTCGCGACCGACTCGCTGAATATGGCTTTATGAGCGATCGCGAAATCACAACACGTATTTCAGTAACTGAATGACTGACTTAAAAGTCCACCCAGCGCCGCCGCGCGGCGCGCGCTCTCAATAAACACGCGTTCATTTGCAAATTGAATCGGCCGCGTAATTAGAGCGCCGAGTAGGGAGGGGGAGAGAGGCGCAGGTCTTGGCCCATCTGATTACAGCTGCGCGTCCTGGAGCCAGCTCACGGGAACAGCGGAAAGCGCCCCGTAAATGTTTTAATGCAAACTCTGTTACATCGCGTCGGAGTATGGGTGGTGCAACTGATGCCATGGCTCGGGGGCCTGCGGACTATATAATTGATGCTGACGCGACAGACAAGCGTCGCTGTGGGCCAAGCGAGGGTCGTGACGGGTCGCGCGACAGTTCACACCGAACAAAAGTTTGGTTGGCCGAGGCCAGGCCCGGCGCCGGCCTCTTTTACTTTGCACAGCATGGGGAGGGCGTATTTCTAGACAGCGAATACCAATAACGCCTGCTCAGATTACGGTTGAGTCTCTCGCCTGCCCCAAACCCGATAATATAGTTCGCGAAACTTTTCGATTACGGTGTCGGGGCGATAATTTCCTGTCACTGTCGGCAAAATGCCAGCCGCCAGGATTGCGGAGTGTGTGTTTAATCAGTGCAGCACAATCACTCAGTAAACACGTCAATTTCCTTGAGATATCGCCGAGGGCCAGAGCGCGGCTCGGAGCGCTGCGGAGCGGAAGTGCGGGAGGGGCGATGGTGTGGTGGTGGGGAGGATGAAGGGGGAGCCAGAGGGAGCAGCGGGCGAGAGGAGGAGCAGAGAGGGCAGCTACTTACGTTGTGTTTCCACACCACCTTGTACGCCGGCGGATTGGAGTTGACGTGGCACTCGAAGTACACGTTGTCGCCCTCCTCGATGTCGTTCGGATTGATCCCCTTGCCGAGCTCGAGGCGCAGGGTGGGCGGATCTGTCGGGCAACAAAGACGACACATATATATATACTCCGCGTGAAACGCCATGATGAGGGACGTCGTCGTCTTTGTCAGAGGCAGGCCGAACATGGTGATCTGATTACAGTCCCCCGCCTTGCCGATCGGGCCGTAGGGGCCGGCGGCGGCCATGCTAGTCGAGCCGTGCTGGGGACGCAACGCATATGGGGGTAGGGCCGTCCTGTTGCCATGGGGAGGCCCATGGGGAGGCCCATGGGGAGGCCC